CACAAAATGTTCCTCTAATATCTCCAATTTTCCTGAACAGATCTCTGGTTTTTCCTTTTCTGTTATTTTCCTCTATTTCTTTGCATTGTTCATTTAAGAAGGCTCTCTTGTCTCTCCTTGCTATTCTTTGGAAGTTTGCATTCAATTTTCTGTAACTTTCCCTATTTCCCTTGCATTTTGTTTCCCTTCTCCTCTCTGCTATTTCTAAGGCCTTTTGGACAGCCAACTTTGCTTCTTGCATTTCCCTTTTCTTTGGGATGGTTTTTGTTACTCCTCCTGTACAATGTTACGAGCCTCTATCCAAAGTTCTTCAGGCACTCTGTCCACCAAATCTAGTTCTTTAAATCTGTTCTTTACTTCTACTGTGTATTCATAAGGGGTTTGGTTTAAATTATACCTGAGTAGCCCAGTGGTTTTTCCTACTCTCTTCAGTTTAAGCTTGAATTTTGCTATGAGAAGCTGATGATCAGAGCCGCAGTCAGCTCCAGGTCTTGTTTTTGCTGACTATACAGAGCTTCTCCATCTTTGGCTGCAGAGAATATAATGAATCTGATTTCGATATTGCCCATCTGGTGATTTCCATGTATAGAGTCACCTCTTGTGTTGTTGGAAAAGAGTGTTTGTGATGACCAGCTTGTTCTCTTGACAAAACTCTATTAGCCTTTGCCCTGCTTCATTCTGAACAGACAGAGAACAGACAGCTGGTAATATCCTTGTTGCGGCTCTGAGGGTCTCAGATAACAGGGCAGGGCAGTCTCCTGGAATTTTCCAGAAGATTGTTCTATGGAGGCCCGTCACCATTGTGTGTCCATGTTACTGCAAGCTAATATGGCTACTTGATGGTACAGCAGTTTTTCTTTGCAGACCAGAAGCAGGACTGTATGGCTCATTCTCCTTTTCTAACAGGTTTTCCTACTCTATAATATGATCAGTACAGAACAACATTTGAACTGAATGAAAAGAAGGAAAGGTTTACTTACGTAGGCCAAGGAGACAATAGACATTGTAGCCTATGTTGTTGTTGTTTCAGTTTTTATGGTCTAAAATTTCACGAGCAGCCTTCATGATTTAAAATCCCCAGATGTGATGGCTCGGAGAATTGTTGGTGTCATAGCTGCTGCTGGTGGTGTATATGGCAGCGGAAGAGGGAGAGATTAGATTGTACATCTTGTTGCATGGAAAATATACGATGTGTGCTCATGATGAGTAATTTATGTGACTGAACATAAGCTTTAGTAGTTTAGAAAATAGCTGTGACTCTGTGCTTTAGTAAGAATGGTGAAACATATTTTGAGAACGTTTGGAAGACAATGGCTGATTACAAAATGAACTGTAAAGGGAATGAAACTATAAAAACAGACTAGGATGCTGAGGGAACATGATTTTCCACCATGGGAACGAAACATGTCTACAGAACCCTTTTTTAGGCTTTTGTGGCAAATGTGCCATGTCCTAAAACAGTGGTTCTTAACCTTTTTGAAAGAAACGCCCCCTTGAGCCATTGAGGAAGTTATCATCGCCCCCCTCCCTGAGGTGATATCTTACCTACCTACCTACCTACTTTGTCTCCCTCCCCACCCGGGTGCGAGGCAGCGCTTCATGGGGTGAGGATGAGGACCCAAGAGACCCTTTCCTTCCACCCGATCCACACTCAGTGCCCCCATAAAGGAGAAAGGCGCGATGTGGCAGGTAGAAAGAGCTGGATCATCTGGCGGCAGCAGCAGCACCAGATCTACTGCCAGCACTGCGGCTGCAGTCGCCTTCACAGGTTTGGCTCGCTCCAGTGCCCCCCTACCGCCCACTTCTGTTTTTTTGCCCCCACACCGCCCCTTTTCGTTCTACCGCCCCCCTGAAAAATGAAATCACCCCCTGGGGGGCATTATTGCCCACGTTAAGAACCAATGTTCTAATTGATATACAGTATCTCTCTATTGACATGCTTTTCTGCTAGGCTTACTTTCCCACCCATTATCTCTTTTACCATTTTAGCCCTATGCATGAGCAGCCAAATACCTGCAGAAGACTAATATCTGGTGCCTATAGTGAGAAAACCGCTATATAAAAATACCATTAACCTGAAATGACTCTTGTGGAACAAAACTCTTAGGGTAGCTGCAAAGGATTTTAGTAATGGGGGGGGGGAAGGTCACAACAGATTGCCAAATTCTGAGGGGAAATTATGCATACTTTTCATTGCTACTTCTGTCATGTAGCTAGTTGTACACCACCATCTGCTGTTCTAAAACTGCATTTTTAAAATTCACATTTTTGTCTTTTTCTGGCACCTTCATTGCAGCAGATAATCAGTGATATGCACTTTTTAAAAGGTATTAGAAACAGCAGATTTCCCAAGTTAAGTTGGTTTATTGAACCAGCAGGCAGAATATCTACATCAGTGATAAATGAATCACTGCATTTTGTTCACTGGCTTGGGTTGTACTAAAGGACATCAGAGTCATGACAAGCAAGTCTGGATATTTAAGCTGGAGCCTTGTGCTCACATCTTTGGGATTAAGTGCAATTGAATTTGATGGACCTTACTTCTGAGTACACAGATGTACATATAATTATACTGCCAACTGGGAAATCCTAAATAAGTATCTCATTCATTTGCGGACAACAAACAGAGAACAATTAAGGAGTGGAGAAACATCTTAATTTAGACAGCAAATATTTAGACAGTACAGCATAATAACAGGTTTTCAGGAATTAACATTTAGGTATCAGCCAAGATCCAAGAGTATGTTCCACTGGATCCTATTCCTTCCCAGAAGTGATGATCCCTTTCCTTCTTGAACCCCTTCCCCTCCTCATACACCTTTAAAACCAGCTCTGCGAAGCCAAGAAAGTATTTAAAGCCGATACCTGATCTATTCACTGAACATCTTATGTTTGAAATGGATGAATATTTCTAAACATACCCATTTTACATAGTATAAGAAAACATGAATGTAGGAGGTGCCATCCAACATGTTTGATCCCATACCTGAAAAAATGAGGCAGGACATATTGATGAGATAAATTAGGGCCACAACTTCACTTATTCTTTAAGAAACCTCGGGTTCAGAAGAGGGGCCTTCCATATTGTGGAGACTACAGCATAGACAGTTTCTCCTCAGATGTCTGCGCATTCCAAGGCAACTCCCTGACCCCTGCAATTTCCCCATAAACCACAGATTGAGGCAACTGACTTTCTTTATCTAAGGGGTCCTTTCCAGGTCTGCTTTTTCTTCAAGTTCTATGATTTAAAAGAAATTGTTACACCCAACTGCCTCAAAGACTACACCTGAATCTCATGGTCGAAGGTTCCAGTCTGTGGAGCTCTCCTTAATCCAAAAAGTTCTCCTGGGAGTGCAATAGATACAATTTCGCACACTTCTGCTAATCCCATGTGAGCATTTAGCACAAACCCATTATTGGATCTGCTCAACGTGCCCTGAGAGAATTAGTGCAACACATGCAAAAATATGCCAGCATAATTTGTTCAAAAGACTAATCAGGTGATCTAATCCAGGCATTTCTATCCAACCTTGAAGCAACCATCAAATTTGTATTGGCTTCTAGGGTAGGTGGACAAAAAACCAATCAAACAAAACAAAATAAAAACAACAACAAAATCAAAAATACTCTGAAAGTCCCACAAAAAAGACAAGGAGATTTATAAGCTCACCTGTCCCTGCCTCCACAGCAACTCAATTTTTATGACACAGTATCACACAAAATGTTATCATGTTCCCCTAGACAGGACATATATAGGTCTCTGTCTGCCACAGCCACAGAGTCTTATAATGGATCTGGAGTTAAGACTTCTTCTTGGTTTCTTGGATATCATAAAACTTGGGAGACTAGCAGTTGGTTGCTTGGTTGGATTTCACTGCCATGCATATTCATGTATAATGGTAAACAAGAATCTGGTAATTCATGAGCAGTGAGTGGCTACTGATTTCTCACTGTAACACATGGACATCAGCAAGCAGTAGCAAATCACAGCTGGGCAGGGGAACCTCAGCCAATGAGAGGACGGAGGGTGGTGCAGAAGTGGGAGGAGCTGAGTTATATAAGGTGTGTGTGAGGAGTGTTGAGAGATCAGTTTGGAAGATGAGTGATTAGAGAGATTGAGAGTGAGAAAGAGCTTGTCAGTGAGGGAAAAGTCTGTGTGAGCTAGTGTCTTATAAACAGTGATTGACAACTTGATTCTATACATGTGATTTACTACTTTTATTTTTGTGTAATCAATAAACACTTTATTTGTTTTGAAAGAAACCCTTGTCCTTTTGAATTTAAAGGATAGGTTGGTGGCAGCAGTTTTTGGTGAGGGGTAGTGAGCACTCTATAGGCCTGGATGGGTAAGGACTTGAGAGTGGCCTGCTACAGGGACCATCTCTCAGTTCCTGTATATCTAGGATGAAACTAGACAGACTTGGCAGTCAACAGATTTTTAGGAGGTCTGTCAAGTTTAACACACTCACAAAAAAGTAAATAGGTGTGTTTCATAAGTGCTGCAATGCACAGGCACAACAGGTTTCAGCTTTTCCTGCTCACCAAGCCTGATTCCCTCCATGGCAAGCTTTCTTTGGTGCCAACACAGTGTTTTTCACTAGAGTTAACAGCAAAGGGAGGAGGACCTGTGATTTTCAATGGAATCACAGTGAGAAATGAAAATTAAGTTTCTTCTCCCACCTCCCCTGTAGTCCCAATGAAAATCAAGGAGGGTAGAAATATACCAGTATAATTTTTTTTTAAATAATGGGTTTCTTAATGACATATTTAGCAAAGTTGGATTTCCTGGAATGAACAGAAGTCAAGAGGTGCAAAATCTCATTACGCTCTAGGATATGGAATCTTGTATTGTACTATTTATGAACACTTCACAGAGGTGTTACACAGACTGTGTTTAGCTTTGGAGTTGCTCATATTTGCTGCTCATGCAATACATTCATGTGGGAAGAGAGGCTCAGGTGCTACACTTCAGAGAACATCAGGGCCATTTTCTTTCCTGCATTGAGATTGTTATGAATCTGGGGGGAGGGGAGAATGAAATTGCAAGCTCCCTTGACATTTCTGCTCTAACCATACCTTGTATTTCAGCACATCTTAAAATTCCTGGAATGCTGTCTGGTTTAGTCCTAATATGTGCTTGTCCTGAAAGATTTGAATGCCACAGAAATGTAGAGTTGTGATGTATGACTGGGTACTGCTGTATTGCCATTTGCCATACAGCCATATTGTCATGGCACATGACAGTATCTCCACATGGAAGTCACTTCCATATCTGAATCTCATTATAGTTCAATGCATAGCATGACTTGTTTTATTTAATTATGAGTACATATGCTAGGATGCTGTGGCTAGTCCTAGCTTTGTAATGCCAGCATATCTCATGTGGGGATATTGATTGATGAAATCCACCTGAAGGAATCACAGAAAGTCTAACATGTATATAGTCACAGCTTTAAGTGTGTTGACTCAAAAGTAGGTTCCAGTGGGTTCACTAGAGCTAACAAAAAATAAAAAAGCAAAAGATTGCAGCTGATCCTGAGATATGTTCAAGTGTGAAGTAGTCCTGATTGGTCTAGGGAAGATTTGAATTCTAGTGCATAAAAGATAGAACACTAGTTCATGAAAGCGTATTCATATACATCTTTCATATTCTTCAATTCCAGGCCCTTTGGAGCATGTCCATTTGTCATTGCCATTTGTTACAACCAAGAACAAAGAAGTTAATGCCACAGCTGTACTGTGGCCTAGTCAAGTTGGAACACTAACTTACATCTGGTGGTTTGGAAACAACACAGAGGTTGGTATTTCATATTGCAAAATTATTTATTAAGTCATGATCTAACAATGTTATTGTTGGGCTTGTGAATTCTCTTGAGCAACAGATTCCAGGGCCCTGCAAATCACAGAGTCCAATTCTTAGTACTTTTATGTTGCAAATCAGCTTTTTAAAATAAAGTTGCTTAACAGGCTGTGTTTAGGTCTAATTTGCATCTTATGCAAATCACTAATCCCCCATTGGACACGGCTGAAGAGATCAAACTAAGAAAGCTGCACAGTGACAGATTATCAAAGAATCAAGATCTGAGGCTCCCCCCATTTCCCTTATGTAAAATGCAGATCCCCCCCCACACACTCTTCCTTTAAAAAAAAATTCCTATTATAGAACCAGACTTCAGAGGCAGAGTTTTGTATTTTGCTCATGATCGCTCCGCGTTGCTCCAGGGGTTGAAACCATATTTTCTCGTCTGTGTGCTCTGTAGGTCTAATAAAAGGGAATGTTTGCCAACAGTACCAACACCTACTCTTTCAAAATGCTAAACCTTTTCGAAGTTCTCATTTGTGCTGTTAAGCTGCAAGAATGCCTCATTACCACATGCGAGGAGAAGAAATGACATGTAGTACATTTCCTTGCCTACGGACACTATTTAGCATTCAAAAAGTATGCCAAAATAATCCACTCTCCATCCTCTCTATCCCCTCATTTGTGAGCTGAAAAGTCTTAACCAGTACTTGATAAATTGTTCTTTATGTATGTGGTTCTCCTCTAGTAAGACAGATTTAAACGTCAGCAGGGTATAAGGAGAACTGACAGTAGTGTGACGGATTAAGTCTTTGTGTAGCTGGGGCTCAGCTCAGGAGTTACCCAGACTTACTGGGTCCATTTCTATCAAATTCCTTGATATAAAGCAACTCTGGCCCAATGAATGGTGGAAAGAGCATCCACTGCCATTGCTGACTCTCAGGAATGATAATATGTGAAGCGATGAGGGTATGCAAAGTGTCTGGCACTTCATAACAGCAGCATTCTCTGTGAGATTAGACTGGTCTCTTATGTTGTCTGCCAGGTCCAATTCCTGCTGTTAGCAGCCTACAGCTGACTCTGTAGCAGCCACATAACCTTCTTAAATATTCAGCAGGAGTGGTGAAGCTTTGTGCCTCCAAGTGTTTTGGCCCTTTAGCTCCCTTCAGCTCCCTACATGGAAAATGAGAAAGGATTGTGGGAGATGTAGACAAAAACATCTGGAAGACCAAATGTTTCTCAATGCTGATCTTTACCCAACCTTCTGATCTGACTCCTAATGTGCATGGACTCTGTTCAAATCATCTCAGTTTTAGCCTAATTTTCAGCATATGCAAAACACTAATTTCTCATTGCACACGTGATGTTGAGCAACACTTCCATAGTGACATTTTTATTCTGGTGGCTGAAGGTATCATAAAGCAATGCTGTCTTTAGGGTACATCTTGTCCAACAACATGGCATTAGTGTAGCATTAGTGCAATAGTACTTGAGTATAGTCTTCCATACTGATTTGCCAAGAAAGTATCTCATAAGACTAACGATTTCTCTAAAAAAAAGTGGGAGCCCACTTACACATTATCCCCTCAAAAATACTTTTTTTCTTTGGCCTATCGTGTAAGTATGTAAGTAAGAAACAACACAAGTAGAGAAAAGGGTGAAAGTCCCTTTACTTGAAAAAATCCAGAAGAAGGTTGTTTGGTTACAGTCAGCAAAGGACAAAAGGGACCCCCTCACCACTGCAGGAGTATATCGGATACCTTGCAAGTATATATTGGAACCACAAAACACAGCATCCACAACAGAATCAAAGAACATGAGAGACAGCACAGACTAAAACAACCAGAAAAATCAGCAGTAGCTGAACATGTCCTAAAACAAGCTGGACATGAAAGTTTATTTCAAAACACTGAAGTACTGGACAACACCAGCAATCATTATGTTAGACTGCACAGGGAAGTCATTGAAATCCACAAACACCAGCAGAGCTTCAACAAAAAAGAATGTATAAAACTCAACAAAGCTTGGCTCCCAGCACTGAAAAATACAGCCTACAAAAAGATCAGCGAACTATACCTAGCCACAAGGACTGGTGATCACTGCACACAAAAGACCAGCTAAGGACACCCATCAATCACAGTGACAGATAATCTCTCCCTCTTGTCAGAACAATACATCCACAACAAAAAAACACGCTGATCACCATAATCACCCGATCTCCTGAAAAGGACAAAACGCGACCCACATCTATAAATATTCAACTATCCCACAAACTGCAGCAGAGCACAGAGTGAGTTCTGACTCCTGTCCTCTGAAGATGCCATTCACAGAGACTGGTGAACGTTAGGAAAAAAACCCTCAGAACACAGCCAAAGAGCCCAAAAAACCTATAACCGCCATTGTTTGGTATCACTTGATCATACATTCACTGACTTGATTGTTGATATCTAGTCTGAAACAAGCCTCCAAGTTTCAGAGCTCTGCTTGCAGACATTGAAAAAGAACTTCCAGTAACATGAGGAGTAGACTTAGAAGAGGAATCTGAAGTTTCAGAGCATTTGCTTACACAGCAGTAGAAATGACAGAAATATATGCAATAGAAATGACACTCTATGAGACTCAAGGTGTATTCTTTGCCTCTTCCTTTTGATAGGAAAGAAAGACAGTGTGGTGCAGAAAACATTACCATCGCCCTGAATTAGTGAGAATGAGGAACTCCAGAAATATTTTCTGCACCCCATGAGAGTGCACGGTTCTTTTATTTGTGATATTCTCAACAAAGAACAAGAATGTGCAAAATAATCAAAATTGACTGAATGGGCCTCTGTTTTAATTTCCATTTGGAGCCATTTCACAACCTGCATTGTCCCTTAGTGAAGTAGAAATTCAAATAGTATTTCTCTCTGGATTGTTGTCACGTTAGATGACAAAAAGATTATCATGTGAAACAAACCTTTGTCTTATTTACTACAAAACCAGGGCTATATATTTCAAGACCAGGGGCACCACACAGAACCGTGCCACAGAGCTGGAGTTGTGTTGTTGTCATATGATGTTCCCATATGACATGGAAGAGTCTGGTGGAAGGTTTCAGTGGTGCTCAGGAATGAAGTTATCATATTTGGGATGAGGAAAGAATAATTATCCCAGCTTAAAATTGGCTAGTGATCCTGAGAGGTGTTTGTCTTCTCTTCTGTACTTCTTTAATCATCCATTTCTTCTTTGTCATTCATTTCTTGTTGCACATTGTGGTCTAGAGTATGTGAGTCCTTCTCTGAGGAGTTTTCCAGATAAGTAATATTGCCATTAGAAGTTCTATTGTTCAATTCCAGATTGACATCACATATTACTACCTATAACAGAGGCACTAAGCTTCTTAAAATCAGGGCAGCTGTTGTGTTTATGTTGTACTTGTGGGCTCATCCTAGGCATCTAATCATCTACTTGGGTACAGAGGCTCTTGATCTGAACAAACATTGCTGTAATTTATGTTGTTATGGAATCTGGACAGAAGGAAAATGTTTTAGTAGCCAGCATCTCCTTTGTTCCCTTCCCCAGGCTAATCATACTGGGCATCTTTGATCTAGCTCTCTTTTCAGTAACTGTTTAGGATAAGGATCCTTGGCTTAGCTCTCTGTGCATCTAAATAATAGACAAACAACACCATTAAGTTCCCACCTCATTCATTTTTTGTGCTTTTGCAGCCATTGATCACTCTGGAAGGGAGCATCACGTTTACATTTTCTGCAGAAGGAATGAACACCATCACAGTACAGGTTGCTGCAGGAAACACCATTCTGCAGGACACCAAGATGATTGCAGTGTATGGTGAGCCCTATCTTGTTCACTGTTCTTGATTCATTCCTCAGAGAGTCATGGGTATTTCCTCCCATTGCCCACCAAACTAAGACAAACAATGACATAGAGAGGACAAAGCCATTCAAGGTAGGATGTGCATCTGCCAGTCTGATCAAGAATAAAGCCACATGCAAAGCTATTGGGGTATGACATAAATAATATTCACATTTTGGATTACATGTTTAAAAGGATATGCTATAACCAAACTAAGACAAACAATGACATAGAGAGGACAAAGCCATTCAAGGTAGGATGTGCATCTGCCAGTCTGATCAAGATATTATCTGTTCTGTAGAGTAATGGGGTATGACATAAATAATATTCACGTTTTGGATTACATGTTTAAAAGGATATGCTATATTCACACACGCACGCACACACACACACACACAAATTTCAGTAATTTGACTGTTAGTTTTAGCCCCTAAACATGGTGGTGTTGCGGGCTAAACCGCAGAAGCCTGTGCTGCAGGGTCAGAGGCCCAAGCAGTCGTAAGATTGAATCCACGCGACGGAGTGAGCTCCCGTCGCTTGTCCCAGCTCCCGCCAACCTAGCGGTTCGAAAGCATGCCAAATGCAAGTAGATAAATAGGGACCACTTCAGTGGGAAGGTAACAGCGTTCAGTGTCTAAGTCGCACTGGCCATGTGACCACGGAAGATTGTCTTCAGACAAACGCTGGCTCTATGGCTTGGAAACGGGGATGAGCACCGGCCCCTAGAGTCGAACACGACTGGACAAAAATTGTCAAGGGGAACCTTTACCTTTACCTTTACCTTTAGCCCCTAGGAGACTCTTGGTCCTGAAACATATTGCTCTCACCCCTCCTCATACTCTGTCCTTAATGTTACAATCTCAAACAAGATACCAAAGCTTAACATGATTTCATTGTGGTTATATCTCCACCTTGCTTTATTTCAAAAATGGCAATAACTATCTCACAATATGGTTGGCCTAGAGCTGATTAGACACAGAATAATTTTACATGACATAAACACTTGGGTCAGATGCTCACCTCAGCAGTACCACATTGAACACCTTGACAAGCTGCAGAACACTAAAGACAGAAAATAAAGAATAGTCATTCCACATGTCAAAGATTTAGCTGAGATATTACAGCAAGGGGTGGGTTTTAATCTATTTTCCTCACACACACACACACTATCAAAAATTGTTTTCTATTGAAGAACACTTGGTATTTGCATTCTTTCACAAGCTTTTTTCAGTGAGGCGAGTTAAAAAAAAAGCCTGAGCTGAAAATGTAAATGAAGTGCTCAGAGCTTCCGCAAACTATTATCAAACTTTCCCTTTTCTAAAGCACCTCTTCTAATGCAAAGGTTGGGTGCTCAGATGTCCTTGAACTACAACTCACAGAGGTCCTGGCCAGTTCAGCTAGTGGGAGTTTTAGTCCAAGAGCATCTGATGACACCCAGAACCAGCTGGTCCATTAACTTGGCTCTTTGCAACATGTGCATCTCTTGGCAGCAACATCACACCAATCACACATGTAGTTCTGATGGCGCTTCCTTGCCTTTCCTCTCAGGCAGCTGCTCTAGCAAGGAGATAGGAAGATGAGTCACCCCACTCAGCTGCTGAGCAGTTGGTTGAGGGGAAAGGTGGGGAAGGGCTGGCAGGACTACACACATGATTGGTGCGATGTTGACGTGTACGCTGTGAGGACCAGGCTGGCTCTGAGGGCAGCAATGGACCACACCTGGCACCTGTGGTGCCAAGCTTTATATTTGTATTCCCCAAGCAAAAATTGGATTTGAGACATTCAAGTTATACTCCCCCAAAGCACCTGGTAGCTAAAGAACATTTTCCTGGAAGACCTGGTTTTTATGTGTGTGTGTGTGTACAATTCAGATATCCCAAATCCAATCTTTGCCAAACTTGGACTAACTCTTGGACTGATTCTCCTCCCCACCCCCTCCAAGTTTGCCAAAGCAGGTACCACCTTGGAAATTGCTCTTTAACTTGGAGGGGATGGGGAGGAGAGTCAGCCCAAGATTCAATGCAATTTTGATGAAGATTGATTTGGGATATCCAACTTATAGTCCACATACGAATCACCAGTGATGATAATAGTTGGCCATTTTATTTCATTCTGGACAGGTATGTTTCCCCAAAGCACCCTGAAATGAACCATGAAATGCCCCCCCTCTCTCTGTGTGTGTGCGTGTGTGTGTGTTGCTTCATGGTTCATTTCATGACCATTTCTAGATGCTCATCTGTAGCTTCACGAGGGCTCCTCAATCCCCTTCTCTTTCTTTATGTTAATTTCCCTCAAATGTTAGTAGGGTGCACCTCTCTCTCTCTCTCTTTCTCTCTCTATCTCTCTGTCTGTGTGTGTGTGTGTGTATTTAAAGAATGGGGATGTGGCCTCAAAATCAGATTCCAGGTTTTCCCCTCAATATCACGTGCAGATGTGCCAGGTTTAGTAATATGGGGTTTCATGTACTATATTCCTGTCCTTCTTCTTAGAGCAATTTCAATCTCTGCGATTATCCTTCTCCCCAAATCTGGATGAATACAATCCAGACATTCCTGAGTGGAGACGGGATATTAGTCGAGTCATCAAGACAGCTCTAGTTGAGGTAAGTGGGAAACTGGGCTATGACATCTGACTTACACATGTCCCTCCTTCTTCAGTGACCAATTTGGAATAAATGCCTTCAGAAAAGCTTTCCATGAACTAACTGGAAGTGTAGCGATGAGTTACAGGGATCCTTCTGTGATCGTTCCAAGGTTATTCTAGGGCCCACCCCTTAATGTAATTAAAGAAAATAAACATAGTTTTTTCTCTTCTCATGGTTCACAATTCTCTTCCTGGAAGCTAGTCACATTTGTCTCATCTTACATGACTGCCAAGGTGCTTTTCCACTGCAGCATGCTGAATAGGTAATTTTTTTTTATTTCTGACTAAAAAATATACAGCTGAGTGTCTTCATCTGATTTTGCTTCCAATTTATGCTACTACAGTTTAGCAGTTTGTCCATGTCTGTGGTAACATTCAAACAGTAGTATCCAGGCTTTCTGGGTCACTGCAGCCTGCCCTGTGCCTGAGCTGGGATAATGCAGTTCATTAATCATCCCAGCTGCCTTCACTTAGTGATGGAATATAAAACTGAAATGCATGCACCTTTGCCACGTTTTCTCTATAGAGTAGATGTTCCAGAACACAGATCAAGGGAGTCCAGAGACCTGTTGTGCAAAATAACATTCCTGGGGAAGTAATTTACAGGTCTGCGGTATCAGCACAGTCCCACTCATGTAAGTGAGATTGATGTAGTGCTTGTGAGGACAGGACAGATCAGGAGTGTATCCAAATAAGATCTTGAGTACTCGCCCGCCGAATAAAATTTTGTGTACTTGATAATAGTTACACTAGCTAGGGATTCAGAGACCTGTGCTTCAAACAGTAAGATTTCCAAAATCTGTAAATCATCATCATCATCATCATCATCATCATCATCATCATCATCATCATCATCTTAGAATTACAGAGCTGGAAAAGCCCCTATGGATCATCAAGCCCATTTGAAAGAGGCACAGTGGGGAACTGAACTTCCAACCTCTGGCTCCACAGTCACTGACCTATCCAGTAGTTGGCACACAAACAGCAACAATTTGGCCATCTCTCTCTCTCTCTGTGTCTAAATGTTTACTTCTCGTCCTGCTTTTAAAAAATGCAGGGAAGATTGATTAAACAACACAGTTTATGACAAGTTCTTCATGTATACGGTGTGTCCTCTGTCAGACTCCCAGAACCTAGACAACCCATGATTCTGAGACTCTGAAAGTTTTAGTGAGTGCCAGATTTTAAATGACAGTCTAACCTAGGGTGCCTGCTTGACTTCCAAGGAGAGGACAACAGGGACACCATAGCTGAGGAGGCCCTATTGCACGTTTGCACATCATGTATTGCTATGGGGCAGATGGGATCTACCTGGGCAGATGTGCTCAGTGCTCAGACTGGGATATATAGGATCATGTCTCAAGTCATTTAGCACAAAGACCAACATGCACATATCCTGCATTTGGGGCTCAAGGAGTCATGCTTTGACCTCTCCTCAGAAATACAAATGTGGTGATAGTGGTGTAGGGCACACCCAGTGCATTTCACTGGGCTGAAATATCACATTGATACTAGTACATCAGTGAGAAAAACTATAGGAAATAAAATTCTTGTAAGATGGATCCAGCAGACCAGATGCTTGGGAGGAAATGGGGACATGAAAACAGGCAGTGGCCTTCCCAGATCATCTAGCACCACTAGTGGCTATTTGTAAAGGGCTTCTGTAGCACCCAAATATCCTTTAAAATAATTAAAACAGCTAAAGCTTTTTGAAATACATTGTTTCAGGGCCAAACAAGATCTTTTTTAAACTGGACATTTGTAACTGTGGATACAACTAACCGTTTTTGGGCTCCAAATTTATTTTGATATGGGGTCTTTGGAAGTGTATGTTCAGCTTTCCAAGGGTCCATGAATGTGGCCCCCACCTCCAGACCTGGCAAGGTTCAGCACTTTCTCTTAGGCTCTAAGTTATAAATAGGATTAATCTGGTCATAAGGTTCTGAAACTTCCTCAGTCCAAATTTTTCGGAAGAAACTGTTTTCAGCCTACCAATATGTCTCTTTCAGTTTACATATTTTGTGACGACAACTGTGCATCTCACAGTTTTCTTTTCTGCCCCTCATGTTCATTAATCCTTTTTCTTTTCAGGAAAGCCAGTTCCATGAGCGTAAAAGATAAAGCTCATTAAAATTCTTCTTTTTTTAAAAAAATATATATATTTTTTTTAAAAAAGTCAGTGAAAAACACAGCAATTAAATTTAAGCTATTTCCACCGTTGAAAAATCCCTGCTGAGAAATGCATATTGGGGGAAACAGATCACTTAACGAGGAGTGGGTATGGAACATGAGTGATTTAGATGCAGCAAGACATGGAGTACAGTGAAGCTGAATTGAAATGTGAATATGCAAAACTGTTTCAGACAGAGTCCAGATTTAAGGCATGATTTCCCACTCCATCTTCAAAAGCAACTTTGCAATATTGCATTTAAAGTTGAAGATATTTGAAAATAATGGATATTTCTTGTATTTATATTGATGGTGTAACAAGAAGCAAATAATTAAGGAACTTGTATTAATTTAGATTAAGACCGGAATACTGTTAGGTGACTACAACTGTGTAACTCAAACTCATGAAAGCTGTTGTGAAGTTTGTAAAAGTCACATCCACCAAGAGATTTCACAGCAGCAGTTGTGCAACCAATTGCCCAATCATTTGCACAATCAAGCACACAATGCACATTGCATGGGCATAGATACCTAGAAATTTCTGCATTCATAATTTCATGCTATGTCAAGTATCATAGGATTTCAGTCACTGGTGAAATCAGAGGATTTCACAGTACAATCAGATGTTCTCCCATTTAAATCTATAATCAAATGACTCTAGCCGCCTAGAGTGGTTGAAATGACTAGATAGGTGGGGTATAAATAAATAAATAAATAAATATAGTTACATTTGCAAGAGATGTTGCTTCCTGAATCAGAGAAAGGATTTCCATACTTCCTGCTAGCATCCTCTTCAGACAGTAAGGGAAATCATATAAACCCCCTGCCCCACTCCAGCAGAACTTCTGTCACATGACTGATCACACAACCAGTCTTGCAACCAGTGTGTGACTGCACACACAACTGGGGCCCTGCCAGAATGTGGGGAATGCTTGCACAGTTATGCTTCCACAATCATTTAACACAATAGAATATAGACTGAGGAAAATGATTTTTCTATTTCTCTGGGCCATACCCAGCCTGCCCCCGCTCCCCAGGTAAATGTCCTCAGGCTCTTTAGCTACATATATTTTAGCTGACTGGATAGATCAGAGAATTAGGTGTCTGGCTGCAGAGACATGGTTTAGGAATTCAGTTCCCCCACTGTAAGAAGAACCTTTGGGCAAGCTGTACATTTCCAAAGTGCCCTCCGAGGAAGAGCATAGAAAACCACTTCTGAGTAATTTATACATAAGTATCATTATTTGACAAAGTTTGTGGTGCAATCCCTTTCATACAGTTCATGTTTCTTTCAGGCAACAGATATTTCCAGTGAACAAATATTGGTAGCGATCCTTCCAGGTTTACCAACATCTGCCGAACTTTTTATATTGCCTTATAAGGATGCAGCAGGAGAAGACAAACGATCACCAGAAGATTTGCAAGAGGTACTTTTGCAGAACTGGTTATTCAACTTTTTCTCTCTCACAGAATGATTGAAAATCAATGCTGGGAATCTAAGGCTGGGCATTTTCATACAGATGTGTTTCAATCACAGAAATTCTCTCTTTTTTTACATAATAAATTTCCAAAACAGGGGTATTAACATATATGCCCATTTCTGTGTCAGAGAAGAAGGCATGGTGATGCTGATCCCCACGTATCTGTTTTATGGGAGCATGACCTTAATAAACTAATAATATAATGAAAGAATAAATGGATGATTGCCATTGGCATGCATGTATTTCTTCTAGCTGTATGATCCCCCAACATATTGAAACCAGATTATAATATGTGTCCGTTTGTCCATAAATATAGATTCATAGCACTGAATATGGATGGCATTTTTAAGAATAAAAAAAACTTCTACTCCCATAATTCAGCAAGAACCCCTGAGGTCAAATTATGCAAGTAAAAGCCTTCAAACTTGCAGGAGGTAAAGTAGCCCTCTTGCTTCCATGCTGTTCCCCTATGTCATTTCTGTTGAGTAGGAAGAAAAACATCCTGCTGCAGTGTGTGAACCATGAGGATTCCCTGCAACTCACAAAGGTTCGTGGAAGGGCAAGTTCCCTTGGAGGCTGCCTCCACATACTCCATATGGAGTTTCCCCCAACCTCTCATTCCTATAAGAGTCCTTTCAGCTTCTGCTAGTATGGTGGGGATGGATCAGGAGAAAGTGTGGAGAGGAGTGGGGCAAACCCTGGAAACTTAACAGAGATGTCTCCCATTCATGCTTTTGCATCCTTTCATTCATCTGTAAAAGCGCAGTGATCAAAACATGCCAAGGGCATCATCCACTAAGTACAAGATGTGCATGTCAAGATGGTGGCTGGATGGTTCATAAATTTTCTTCAAGAGTTTCTCATAGTAGGGTTTATGTTGGGACTCTACAGTACATTACTAATGAGTGAAGTCAAATCAAATATGTTATAGAAAATCTTGGGGTTAAATAGATTAATTTGGTGGACTTTTTTTCTGGCTACCTAAAATTTAATCCAAAATCTGGATATGATCTTTGTTTCCCCCAAATGTTTCCAGTTATGATGAGTTTGCAAATTAAAAAAAAATAGCAAGACTATAAAAGAATTGGTTTTTGCAAGCTGATAATTTCATTTAATAACTTGAGTGATAAAAAATAAAATTTGTCAAAACCCCACAAATTTTAAGGCTTTTTAAAAAGGCACTTTGAAAAAGTTAAAATTCTAAAAATTTAATGAATCTTATCTTTCAACTATATTTCAATGCATCCGAGCTTATCTGGCCTATGCTACAATGCTAAAGCAAAAGTCATTCCAGGCTTATGGTGTATGTCTGCTTTGTCCTTTCTCTTTTATCCTGCTTGACAAACTACTTACTTTGTAATCTTCTTCGTGTACTTGTAATGAACATTAGGGGAAAAAAGATTTATGCTGTACAGAGCTCCTTCCCTCAAATAAATTGAAAATGAAGGCAATACATAGGTTCCTAGATTTATAGCTGACCCAACTTGCCTGCAGCACTTGTTTGCCTATTGAATTCCACAAATTATTATATAGATATGTTTCCCCTTGTGCTCCCAGACTCTCTATGGTCATAAAGTCTTGTAGCACTGGCACATTGTCATCATAAGCCTTTATAGGGAGACAAGAGTAATAGAGCTTTAAAAAGGGACTCCACCAGTATCATGCCCATTGTGCTTCCTGAAGGGAAAAAAGAATGGGGAAAAAAACATATGCTACAATGGTGAACTGGCTAGTGTTGTACTCACCAAGGAGGAAAGAGAAAGAATATGCATATTTGTTTTCTCTACTGAGATTGGAAACAACACAAATAATGGTGCAGTAGATGTATTTAATTCCATTGTTGCTAACCTGGCAGCAGGTCAGAACTGATGGCGCATAACAAAAAACAACAGCAGCAACAACAATCATGATGTAACATGGCCCAAAGCTGGATTTGTACACTCCGCAGCGGAGCAAGAACTACTTGAGGAAACAAGGAATTAGAATGCAAATGTCTATTTGAAGTCATATAAAAACAAAACCCAGATATATTTATCAAATGAGGTAGGACATCCACTTCATGAATAAATCAGCTCCAAGTATACAGTCTCTAAAGACCTATAATAAAATGCAAACACATAAGATCACTGTGTGGCTCCATGCTTCCAGTGCCCCTCTTGCACAAACATACTGAAATTCTGCTTCCTAACCAAGGTGGTTGGGGCCTTATCATCCTCCAAGGGAACAGTAAGTTCTGCCTCTCCAGCTCTCCCTCTCTTTTGCAACTCAAATATGGAATCACAGCCCCTTCCTAAGATTTCCCCACCCATTGGGCTGAACCAAATAGTCCTTCGGGGATATATCTGCACAACAAAAAGGAGGAATTTCTTTACATTTGGTTTAGTCTACTAAAGTGTCAACCAGTGGCTGTGATATCTAGGATATTCCAGGAGCTGTAAACCAAAATAAAATAAAACAAAAGTAGATTTGCATATATAGTTCTTTTCAACACTTGAGTTTATGACCTTGTCTTGCTTGCTGTACTTGGTGCTATCCCTGCCCACACCCCAACTTCTTGCTCTCTCATCTTCTTTTGACAGCAGCCACCTTTCAAAGTTGCATTTCATTACTGTAATGGCAAAGTGAGCTCACAGCTCCCAATTTAGCTTTACCCGCTATTGTCCAGAAATCCTCTTTGTATAAATCTCTTATGTGGGTTGTAGATGAATGAATCAATAGAAAGGTGAGACAGAAGTAAGAAGTTTAACCAGGGCTACATTTATTTAAGAAGGACAGCAAATGGAAACTCCATGTGAATCTATCATCAAAAGGCTTCAAGCCTGTGTGAAAATTCTAGCTACCATTTCTGTGGACTTGTTGAGCAATTATCTTAGGCATCTCTCATCCACATTGCTGCATCCACCCAAATATACAATTCACCATGGAAAAAGAAATAGAGGGACAACTCCCTTTCTTAGAAGTCATGGTCACACGCAAAACTCACCTATTGGGACACAAGGCCTACAGAAAACCCACCCACGCAGACCGGTAACTACACAAAAACTCCAACCACCACCCACAGCAAAAAATGAGGCATAATCAAAACACTGGTAGACTGTGAAAATCAGAACTGTGAAGCTCAATTTCTCAACACCGAACTCAACCAGCTGAATTGGGCCCTACAGGCAAATGGCTACTGCAAAAATGAAATCACAAGAGCCATCAAACCAAGAAAACAACACCAAACTGAACAGGAAAATCAGCCACCCACAAATATAGTATTTCTGCCATACATCAAAGGGGTCACGGACCACATGGGGAAACTTTTGAAAAAAACACAACCTACAAAAAGTATGCAAGTCCACCACAAAAATACAACAAATGCTGCAGTCAGCAAAGGACAAAAGGAACCCTCTCACCACTGCAGTAATATACCGGATACCTTGCAATTTTGGACAGGTATATATTGGAACCACAAAATGAAGCATCCACATCAGAATCAAAGAACATGAGAGACACTGCAGACTAAAACAACCGGAATAATCAGCAGTAGCTGAACATGACCTGAAACAAGCTGGACATGAAATTTTATTTCAAAACACTGAAGTACTGGACAACACCAGCAATCATTATGTTAGACGGCACAGGGAAGTCATTTAAATCCACAAACACCAGCAGAGCTTCAACAAAAAAGAA